GTGAAGGACATCATGGCTGAGAGTTGAAGGCTGTTACATAGTGGAGTTGCTTACGGATACAATGTCTCTTGATCTCATCAGCTGTGGTTGAAATGATGGACTAATGATGGATTTTCATTTCTGTGGATGAACTTTGGCACTGATATCTTATAACTCCAAATTCAGCCAGATTTACTGACGTCACCAAGACACTTCACATCTTTAAATGTTAGAGTCTGTGCTCATCCGTTCATTGGACTGGAAAGTCATTTCTAAGTGGTGTTGTGCTTTAATGTGTTTAGTTTTTAAGCTTTCCAGATCTGTTCCCCATATCCATGAAAATGTTGATGCTACCAATATATCAGTGATGTGTTAAGGGGCAACCACATCCATCCTCTCTGCTCTGAGAGCTGAAGTGTAATTTAGTTTGATACAATTTAATTCAACCACAATAAGCTTCTGTGCCTTACTTTCCCAAAGCTCTGTTGAATGGCAAACGTTTATTTGCCTCAGGGAAAATGTTTCTCTTTTTCCACATGACTCTAGGGATGTTAACGTCTGTCAGGTCTGGTTTGTAAGAACCTTTTAGACCATATTGAGATATATCTGATTCATTTTAGTGTTGTTTCAAAACAGGCTTGAAAAAACAGGAAGCTCTTTCTTTCTACAGAACCTGTAAACGTATAATACAGAATAACAAACATTAAAATAATCAGGCGTAACTGATAATGAAAAAACTGTTGTACTGTATGTCCGTAGCTTTAAAAATAAGTTATCATGTAGCAGCTTGAAGTGTGAAGAGGAAGTTATTAAAGAGGATACAGTGATGCCATAAAAGGCAATGTTTGAATGAATAACCACTTCAGGGACTTTTATGAGAGCTTAAAATAAGGCTTTGCACAAAAAATTAAATATCAAAACCATAGCGTTACAAGTACAGGTTATAAGGCTGCAACCAGTTAAAACAGTTACTAGGTTTTAAACAATACTTTTTATCTTTACGTAGTAAATGCACTTATTCGGGAGTTTTATATTAAAAAAACCTAATAATTAAACAAATGACTATTTGAAATGAGCCTTCATTATTTAACTGCAGATATTAACATGTAATACAGATCATTGAGATGCACTTTTCACTCTGGGAATAACGTGTTTCACATTACAGTGTAGAACGATGGTTTGTGTAGATATTTATTGTCTTCTAACATAAAAGTCTGATGCACTCTCATGGTACGACCGCTTTCTCAATGTTTTTCACACCTTCGGTCATGATAAACTATAAATAGACTTGCTCACTTCAAGATGTTTTATTTACTGTAAGATGCTCATTATCATCAAATACACAAACTGCATGATATCTGTGATATTTNCCGTCTCTATGTTGCAAGAATAAAAACAATACAAATAAATTACATAAAATAAACAAAAACTCTCAAAGTCAAGTGATAAGACTGGTCAAAGAACAACTCCAACATGCCAGGCACAGCTCAGATACAGGGTGTTGATCTCCTGAAGTAAATTATAAATGTTGCTTAAGATCTGCTTTCAGGATTATTTATCTCTTGAAATTTTTTTTCTAACGTTTTGTTTTTATCCTGCTAACAAAAAAGGCTGCCATGTTCAACTTGAATATCTGAGCGCTCATCTACTCCCCGCTCATTGAATGCGAAAACTCCACTTATTTAAAGTGCTGAATTTTCAAGCATTTTATGAATTATAAAGAAAAATGAGTTTGTTGATATATTACAATTCACAGGATATCTTAAATATAAAAAAAAGGGTAAAATGTTTGGGTTTCACCTTTATTGCCTTTCTCCGCTGGCTCTCTTCTCTCCGAGTGTCTCGCTGAGTCTCTGCTCTGACCCTCCTCTTCTTCTTCGCTCAATTTGTACTTTCTTCCCTTTTTCGCACTTCAAATGTTCCAGGGGCTTCTTTTACAATTAGCCCAGCTGACTCCTACCACTGAAGCTAAGATATGAAATATTCTCAGAGATCAATATCACAGATATCATTGCAGTTTGTGTATTGATGATAATGAGCTCTACAGTAAATAAAACATCTTGAAGTGAGCAAGTCTATTTATAGTTTATCATGACCGAAGGTGTGAAAAACATTGAGAAAGCGGTAGTACCATGAGAGTGCATCAGACTTTTATGTTAGAAGACAATAAATATTTGTTACACAAACCATCGTTCTACACTGTAATGTAAAACACGTTATTCCCAGAGTGAAAAGTGCATCTCAATGATCTGTATTACGTGTTAATATCTGCAGTTAAATAATGAAGGCTCATTTCAAATAGTCATTTGTTTAATCATTAGGTTTTTTTAATATAAAACTCCAGATTAAGTGCATTTATTACATAAAGATAAAAAGTATTGTTTAAAACCTAGTAACTGTTTTAACTGGTTGCAGCCTTATAACCTTTACTTGTAACGCTATGGTTTTGATATTTAGTTTTTTGTGCAACACCTTATTTTAAGTTCTCGAAAAGTCCCTGAAGTGGTTATTCATTCAAACATTGCCTTTTATGGCATCACTGTATCCTCCTTAATAACTTCCTGTTGGCACTTCAAGCTGCTACATGGTGACCTATTTTTAAAGCTACGGACATACAACAGTTTTTTCATTACCAGTTACGCCTGATTATTGAACTGTCACGTTTGCTGTATTTGCAACGTTGCAGGTTCTGTAGGAAGAAAGGTTTCGTTTTTACTAACCACACAGTGACTTCATCCCCAACATGAAGGGTTTTCTTTTTTCTTTTAAATTAAATAATACAAATTAAAAAAAAGACAAGATATTGTTCACTCTTACGGAAGTGTGAGTCAAGCAGACTCGAGTCATAAGGCATCAAAAAAAGGGAAGCAATACATAACGTCTTAAACAAGAACACTAACATGGCTATAGAGACCAATCTTGCTATATCTTTTATCCGTTTGAGAAAACTGACCAAATGCAAAGATGATTAGATGTTTAAAACTGATTTTGAAATTGTTTGCAATTAATCAAGCCTCCATATTTATACATATATGACATATACATCAAATGATGCAGAAAATAAAAGTTCAAGGTAGAACTTCCTGTTTTTCAAGTCTGTGATGAAACAATGCTAACATTATCAGAGATATCTTAGTCGGGTCTAAAGAGTTCTTACAAACCAGAGCTGACAGAAAGCCGGACGCTGACATTCCTAGAGTGACGTTGAAAAAGAGAGACCTCTTTCCTACACAGGGTGAAGGGGAGGGTTTCATTTTAAACCCTAGTATAATTACAATAATTTTGAACGAAGGCTCGACACTGGAAATATTTTATTCCACCACAATGTGCATCTATTTGTATCATAAAGGTTTGATCTGAGTTATGAGGAGGTCAAATCCTTGTAGAAGGTGTGTCTGACTGAACAATGAATGACATATTAATATATCTATTCAATTAGAGCTTAAAAATACTACACATTTATATTTTGGGCAATTCAGAAGAACATTTGTTTTTTGGAATGTAAAGAAATAAAAACGGCATAAAATACTTTTTGGAGTTTTATTTTGGTTATTGTTTTATACATGTTTGTCTAATAGATGCTGATATGAAACCAATGTTACGAAAAGTGACAGCATTTCCTGTTTCTGCTGGAAAGAGGGGAGTTCGTCCCAAAGCTTCCCTCTGTATTTACACCCCACCTGAAAAAAGGGAGCCTCATTCAGCTGTGAGTGTGACTGCAGACGGAGTTCACTCTGTCACCGAGTAGAAGTGGGTAGGGGGAAGTTTGGAATTGGGCCAGAGTGTCAGTGATTATCCACACCTGCACATGAAGTTACTAATCAACAAATTAAACTGCCCTCAGAAGACTTGACTTTATTGGCTGCATAATATGGTGGCCCAGAGATCTCAACCAATCAGCATCAAGTAAACCATGAGGAAATAACATAGAAAGACACAACTTGAACTGATGATACAAATAATAAAAAACACCAATTTTACTTCACATGTTCTCACATTCAAACACAACAAAACACATCTTTAGCTTGCATGTAGGCTATGTATTTATTTAGGGCTGTGAATTTTAAGTATATGTTTTATGTTGTAGCTATTATTGATGTATGCTTTTATCTAATGGATTCAGACATTCATAACAAAATAATGAAGGAACTTCAACAAGTTTTGTTCCAAAGTGTATTTCAGTAAAGCTATAAAGTCATTCCAAAAGACAAGACAAATGACATCTTCTCATGAGAAGTGTGAAGGGAAGTAATTGTCATGCTACAAAGGGAAACCTTCAACCAAAATCTGTTATCTTATTTTTTGATGACTGTGACAGCCCTGTGGTTGTCCAGCAGGTGGTGCTGCTGTAACCTGTGTGTTTGTTGTAATCAGCAGTGATGGGACCCACCTGTGGCACTTGATTCCAGTATATAAGAGGGCTGCAGAACAGGCTCTCGCTCTCTCTCAGCTGCCCTGCTCGGTGCAGCAGTACACCGCTCCTGTGTTTGTTTTATTGTTGGTTGTAACCACTGTGTTGGGTAAAATAAATGATTGTTTTGGGCAACTCCTGTGTGGAACTGTTGTCCTTATGTTACAAGCAGAAACAGCTTGTAACATGACAATGGAATGGTAACAAATGTTCAGTCTGACTGGCGAGGTTATATTCTTTGGGACAAATATTTGTAGTTCTTCCATGATGAATGTTTATGAATCTATATAACAAAATGGCTATGATTGTCATGATCATTTCTTCCTTTTTACGCATACCTGACAGAAAATATTACAGATTGATAACGATACAAATGCAATTAAAAAACAACATTTTAATAAAAGGAAACGGAGTTATAACTTTAAACTTTTTCANAGACAGAGCAGTCTGTTAGTGAAATCAGTTCAACAGCCTGAAGGTCATCATTCAATTGACTTTTGGCACAAACATCATATACTTATATCCTAACTACTAACAAGTTAGTAGTTAGGATATAAGTATATGATGTTTGTGCCAAAAGTCAATTGAATGATGACCTTCAGGCTGTTGAACTGATTTCACTAACAGACTGCTCTGTCTTTAGGTCTGACCCAGAAGCCCTCAGTGATGATTCTTCCTCTGACAGAGAGGCAGCAGACCACACTGACCTGCACTGCTCCTGGTCTCTGTTCTGGATCTGATCCTAAATTCACCTGGACATGGAGAGGAGCAGGAGAGAAGGACTCTCAGATCACAGGAAACATCACTGCTCTCAAGACTGAGGATCTGACTGCTGTCACACAGAGACACAGCTCCACTTTGACCTTTAACCCTTCAGCTGAACACCACAACAGCAATGTTACCTGTGAGGTCAGCTTCAGAAACAACATCACTGCAGAGGAGACTGTGACTCTTAATGTGACCTGTAAGTATCACATTTTACATTCTGATTAGTTAAAAAAGTCAAATCTAATCTGCCTCCCTTTTTTGAGACAATTGTTTTTATCTTTCTCTCAAATGTCATTTGTACGTGTGACTTGAGAGGGTCCAAAGCTTTGACCTGTTTTAGTGCACCTACTCTTATCACATATCATATCGTATTTTCTCAAAGGACTGGTAATCAATCGAAATATAACATTGAAGTTTGCGGTCATATTATAATCCATCATTTGACATCAGAACATTTTGGACAGAACATCTGTACGGCAACCAGACGGCAACATATCTGAACAGCTTACTGACAAAAACAGTTGACGTAAAATTTGAGTATTTTCCAAATGATTTTAGTAATTTAGTTATACTTGTATTCTTTCTGAGTATCTTTATTATCTGAGGGCATTTGCAAGAGTGTCAGTGTATTTAAAGTTATTGATGGTGATTTTATTTCTTACATATTCGGCTCTTACCAACATATTCCTTTAATTTAAATGATCATCCATATTTAGACACTTTAAGGCCTCTAGGAGATTTTCAGCCTCATCTTCGAACCGCATAAGGAATTATTCAAACAGGTTTTTTTTAATGATTTGATAACTACGCTGCAATTTAATATTTTGCCAAATAGGTTTTTATGGTTTGTTTAATTTGTTCTTAAATGTGCAAAGAAACCTGTGATCACTGGAAATACAACAATCAAAGATGGTAATGATTTGAATCTGACCTGCAGTGTTGAAAGTTTCCCTCCATCTGTTATCACATGGACTAAACATGATTCCTTCAAAAACGTGTCAAAACAAAATCATCCTGCATAACGACACTGGAACAGCCACTCTTATAATCCGTAATGTGACAGTCGATTATTCTGGACTTTACGTCTGTAAGGCAAAACGTCAGATCCCTACTCTGAGTACACATGCTGAAGTAAATATGACATGTGAGTAGGCTGTTCTATTCTCCTTTTAAATGTAATAATGTCATCTTACTCTGTTTGCTGTATTGTTCAAATCCCTTGTGTGTGTTTTTCAGTTCATCCAAGGATTTTCAGTACCTCTGGATGTGTGGTTCAGTCGGAGGTTCTGACGTGTGTGTGTATCAGTGAGGGGTTTCCTTTACCCACCATCAAATGGCCGCTGTTAGACACTGAATACTCTGTCACTACCAATTTCTCAAACCATGCAGTTAACATCAGCATTACTGTAACTTTAAGAGATCACAATTACACCACTGTCGAGTGCATCAGCAGCAATGACATTGGGGAAGTAAAAGAAAACCTCATTGTTACGAGAGAAGTGTTAAAACAGTATGGTAAGTGTTGACTACTAAAATATCTCCCAAACTGCTTTATGAAATGTTTAATACTTTACAGCACTAATATAAATCTTAAACAGTGACACAATCTACATTATGTACTTTCTAATAGCAGATCAACATGGACCATGCGAAGTGCTACTCTGGCTTGGCGTTGCTGCTGTATCTCTTATTGTAAATGTCATCTGCATAATCCTCATGATGTTCCTCTGGTATGNAAAAGTGTACGAAGACGCCTGCGCTGCTAAACTAGCGGCAAATCGAAAGCCAGCTGCAAAGGCACCGGGGCTTTTACCTATCGACGAGGCTTTTGAAAAAGGCAAGAAGTCTTTTTTTTAGGGCCGGGACTCGATTAAAAAAATTAATCTAATTAATTACAGGCTTTGTAATTAATTAATTGCAATTAATCGCATTTTTAATCACATATAAATATTTGACCTGAGAACAGTGAGAAGCAATTTTTTTCACATGGATTTTAGTATACCATTGAATAATGACTGAATACATAAGCTTAAGCAACAAAACATTGTTTATTTTTTTCAAGGAGGTACTTAACCAAGACCAACAGAAAAGTGCAATTTTTGCCATAAAGTGTAGCAATAGCATATTTAGGAATATAGTATATTTCAGAGATTTAGGTAGCCTATAGGTAGGTAGACCTTCTGTAAACTATAACACTTCGTTTTTTAAGTAAAACACAATACTTTCAAGTACATTCAGAACATTGGAAACCCTGACTATTAGAAAACATCTCTCTGTTGCTTCAGAGGCCATAACAGACTTTGTTGATTTACCAACAGTTGATTTAAAAAATCTAATACATTTCAGTCCAACTCTCTCAATAACCTTGGCCAAAACAATAAACAGTTCAACATAAAGTGCCAGTTGCACCAACAACGTAATAAATAGTTCAACATAAAGTGTACCATTTAAAATAAAATAAAAAAGTGCCAGTGATTGACCTCAATCCCTCCTATTCTTCCAATATCCTGATGAAAAATAAAATCTCTCTGTTGCATAGGCCACTGTTTGATCAACGCGAATTGGGTGTGGGTCCTTGTACTACGAGTCGGGCTAACGTCCACGCTAGCTTCCACGCTAGCTGCTATATGTTTTGCATTGAGGTGATACTTGAGGCTTGATGTGCTGCGGTGATATGCGAATTCCTTTTTGCATAATTTGCAAACAACTGTGCTCTTATTGACGCTTCCATCCGTCCGTTTTTTAAAACAAAATGTCCCATTCACGGGGCCAACCAAAGCGGTCTCATCAGCTTCTTCGTTCACGTTTGACTATTGTTCACTGTGGTTTGTTGTTGTCTGAAGTAATGAACGTTAGTTGGTGCTCCAGTATAATCGGTACCCCTGAAACTCATCCAGTGAGAAACGTTCCGCGGTGCAAAAATAAGTGCGATTAAAATGCGTTAATTTTTTTAACGCGTTAATTTTTGTGTAATTAATTAATCTTAATTAACGCGTTAAAGTCCCGGCCCTAATTGTAATACTTCCTTTTTTTCTGGGGGGGTTTTCTGAATTGTTTGAGTGTTTCTTCCTTGTTTTAAGATTGCTGGAAACTTAAAGAAAGTATGTTTTCTACACCACATTTAGCAGCATTAGCCCTCTTGTCGTTTTTATTTGTCTTACTTTGTTGTTCCCGGTCAAATTTGACTTGTCTGTTTTAACTGCTCTCACATTAACACAAAACCGCTTAATGTTAATTATCACCCTTTTAAGCAGTAAACTTTTTATCCGCTTTCGACTACAAGTTTACATGAATAACTGCAGTGAATACACAAACAATGCTTGTCAATTTGTGTGTGTGTACTATCTGGCTGAACTTACCCATAGAGTTGACTTAACCACCTAAAATTCAATAAAAGTGGTGGTCAGCAATTTTATATTTTCAAATGCCTGTTCATATCATAAGGCCTTGAAGCATTCAAACGTAAAACACAATATTTATGATTGATGAAAGTAGTAAATCAGTCAGATTTTACCCGGACACGACAGGAGTGTTAGAATATGGTTATGAATCCCCCACTTTGTAAATTGAATAGTCAGCATTTTGTAGGGTTTTTAACAGTATACTGTATACTTAACTTTCAAATGCCATTTTGTACTTTGCAGAAACAAAATAACCCCTTTTCCTCATTCACTCAACATTTAAAAAAACTCAAACTTTATTCTGGACACAGACCGTGTACCACTTTGTTATTTAGTAAAGAGATAAACATTTCCAGACAGACATCACCTTTTAAGTTAAAATAGGCAGTCAAATAGAGGAAATCTAAAATATTAAAGACAACAACATAATCTTGTTTTTACCTCAGAGGATCCTCTTACAGCGTTATGTAGCTCACGCCATCCCTCCTAAAGTAAAAGTAAGATTTAAAAAAAGGAAGTTTTTCACACTTGACCTAAAATGTTCTCAAAATTTGCATGCTCAATCATGCCTGCCCGGGACCAAAATGTTTTATATGCAATTGTGTTATTTCCCCTCTCCATCTGGCTCGCTACAGTAGGCCTGCAACCTCCTTTCACTTCCTCTATTTGATGCATTTATTTTTATTGAAAGCTACTGGGTTGGGTGGTTGAAGTATATTTTACTGGCATTGAATAGTTACAGTATTTGAAAACGAGTTGCAGATTATATGCTAGCAAAGTATTTGCAAGACCCTTTATAATTACTTGCGGATTAAAAGTTGTTACAATGTATCAAATGATTTCTGGAGTACTTTATGAAAGTGTGTTTCAGAGATAAAACACACACAAACAAGAAACCTTAGACAAAGAAGAAACAAGTTGACTTCACTTCCCCTCCCCAAGAGCCTCAGACACTATCTTCTCAGCATCAGCCGCCATTTCATCGATGGCGCAGTTTAAGGCTTGCTGCATGGCAGCAAAGGAGCGGCTGGCTGAACCAGCATGTCTAGGTAACGCCATCTCAACCAGCTTTAAAGAAACTGTGGCCAAGTCGTTTTGTGCCTTCGCCAGGCGCTGTTGAACCTCGCCCTTAGTGACCTCGACTGACAGTGCACAAGTTCGCATCCCTTTAAGTCTTGTGGGCTCCATGCCTCGCTGACGGGCCAGTCGTTCCACAGATTCATCGTCTAGACACAGAGATAATTGTGCTTTGGTTAGAATCCGTACTGCTACACTTGAGTCCACCATGGAGGCCACAAAGGGAACAGGAATAGCCGACACCCCACCAGATAGCGAGGCAGCTGCCCATACTAGTGCTTTAAATGCATCCTTTTTCTGTGTGACCAGGCTGGAGGTAAGTGTTGGGAGAGCCAAGAGCACCGCGTGGGCTCGGATCTCAGGAAGGTCTCTTTCCATGTCCTGCAACAAGCCAGGAAAGTCAAACTTCTCCAGGGCGGAGGGTCGTACCACATAGAATTTAGGCATTTTCACACCCTGTGATCTCAGCACTTCCAGACTGCTTTTCCGTATTTCTTCTAGGCTTTTTTCTGTAATTTTTTCTGAAGCAAAGAGAATAAAATACACTGTTTGTTGCTGCAGCGACTGGGCCTCAAGGAACAATCTCACACTGTTGGTTTGGGGCGTCTGTGTGGATGATATAAAGACGGCATTGTAGCGGGGAAACTTCACTGCGTTCATGTATCCCTCTGGTTCAAACGGAGAGGTGGATGGGAGAGGTGGCAGATCCCACAGACGAAAGTCAGGGTGTTTGGGGTTAGGGTAGCATGCCACTTCCTCCGGTGCAACAGGTGTCGCAGAGGGAGCTGCTCCATCGTCCCCGAAGCTGAGGCCATTGAGCGAGTTTATGAAGGAGGTTTTTTCATCCCCACGGTCCCCAATCAAAGCGAGGTTGATCCTGCTGATCAGGAGGTCTTCTAATGCATCTTTGACCTCTGATAACTTATTGTGGTCTATGGACTCTTTTAGGGTCTCAATGAGGTTCAGACTTCTGAAAACATCAGCCATACCTGTGAAAAGATATGCATTGCATTTTTGAATATAGTTATTAAAGCACATAAGTCAATCATCTTTACCATAGTATTAAGTATAAAATAGATTGTGGCAACACAGTTTGATAGTACCCTTGTAACCTACTAATACCTGAATTGACCTGTTTTTCTGGTGTCACAGGAAACAATCTCACTTAACACTGGTGCACACAATGTTTAAAACTGAACTAAAGGTGTACATAGTGTGTTAATAAAAGTACTTTTCACAACCAAAGGTCTTGTTTAGCATACATTGCTATCAGTATCACTAAACCTGCTGATTATTTCTGTTATTCAGATAATTCACAGTGTTCAAACCCGTCAAATAGGTCCTTTTTGCAAATGCAACATTTCAATGTATTACAAACTGCACACACTCACCTAAAGGTCTTGAGAAACAGCCGGGAGGTTGAGAAATGTGTTCTTGGTTGTCAAATCTTGACTCTTTTGCGGCTCTGAAGCACAAGCAGCATCAGGTTGATCTATTTAAAGCTGTCCAGCGAGTGGGACATTTTTAATCCTGTTAGCTTAGCCTTAATCCAAAATCCCTCTGAGCACATGCCCACTTTGGGTATATGTTAAACTGTACTTTTCAAAGCCTTCAAGAAGAAGCACATAACAAAAACATACACTTTTTAAATAAAGAGTCATTTGAATAGCCCCATTGTTTTTATTATTAAACTGCAATGTTTCACTAATAAGCATTACAGTCATGCAGAAAGGAATATGTTGCCAAATCTCACCAGTAGGACCATGAAGAACTTTAGCAAATGTGTTTCATTTTTGATGTACTTCGACAATTTCAATAGTGAAAATAAATACAAAAATGCCCAAATAAGTATAGAGTATGAATACATTAAACTGAAAGCATAAAACAAGTGTCTTTGTTTATAATTGTGTGGGAAGTTTCTCAAAGGTTGCTGTGTATGAAATAAAAGGACCAGCCAAACATTTTGTAATTTAGGTATAAATAGTTGATATAAGTTTTACACACAGAACCTCAAGAGATTTGCCTCCTTAATTAATGATGCCCAAAAATCACAATGTTTAATATGACAAGTTTCATTTTCTTTATTATGGAAACCTTTGTTACATGAATGTTGGGTTTGGCCATATACTGAAGGCTTTACCAATAAAGAGGAACAAAGTCAAGTTAATAAATGTGAGGAAGTTGTGTAATGTACTCTTGTTAGAAAAAGCTTCTTTCTTCCCTTTTCAGAACCCAGTATGCAAACCGTCCAACATGTGGCTGGTGTTTCACATGTTATTTTAGAATCACCCTCTCACAAAATTATTTCCTGTGTTTGTGACAGCAGAAGAAAGTGTTAAGCATCCTTTAAATATATATGCGAGTTAGTTCAAAGTAATTGGACTTCAAGTTAAGGTTACGCAGTTTCTCTGTTATGCTAATATTTAGATCAAGTTAACTGCTTTAATACATGCTCAAATATATGCTTTACAACAATGAGTAAAATGTAAATTAAAAAAGAAAACATTCACCCAACACACATCCTGGTTTGGACTTTCTCAACTGTAACAGCTGGTGCAGCTGGCTGCACATAATTGGTCCTAAAACTACAAATTGTTCTTTTATCTTTGTTTTTGTACTAAGTTCTTACATTGTGTGCTTTTGAGGATTATTTTAAACTTCACATGGAGCTTTTCCCCCCCATTTAAAATGGTTAAACTAAGCTAACTCTGCTAGCTCTATAGCTTCATATTAGCACAGACATGTGCATTTATTTGCTATTCTCCTCTAACTCTCAGGTATAAAACAGTTGGTTAAAATGTTGAACTTCTGTATATGCTACCATTTTCTTAACTTGGATCATGGCATGCAATTCAAACAATCACATTCTTAACAAAAAACACTTCGACATACAGTTTCTTAATGGCAATAAAACATTCTAACACATTGTCGATTAAATTAATAGGATTTCTGCTTACATCTTTTAAGTAAATAAGTTGTATAAGATATACACAACTGCAAATGGGACATTATATGTACATATATTCACATACTACATAATCAAAACCTGTTTACATTCTAAAAGTAAAAAATGCAGACTTTGGTACACACAAAGCTAACATGCCCTCTCCTTGCACACCAGCACTATAATCATTTTCATGAACAAAGTAAAGTTGTTTGGAAAAGCTCAATGGAATAATAAACAATAGAAGAAAACAGCATTTGAACAAAGAAACCCTATATAATACAATAACAAGACCTACTTCAATGTCTCCATAGTAATAAAACAAGCAATACTATCTGCATGCATTTCTACAAACATAACAATGCATTATAATGGAAAGCCTAACTGCTACAAAAAACCAATCATTCTAGCTGATAAAATGTACATGCAGTTCAGTGTGGGTGGATAGGGGATCGGCCATGTGAAGCAGAAACTGTGAGGATTACAAAAAATGTGCATATGGAATAGGTGTAACCTAAGATAGCGGTTAGATTCCAAAAAAAACAAACAGAAGCTTGATAAGGTCGGTTAATTTCATGCTGAGAGCACAGTGCTTTGTTAAAAGGTTTTTCAATAACATGTCAAATTGATTGTATACATACTTTCTAGTTTGTAAAAACATGCAATATTCTTGTAGTTCTTGCATGCATGTTACGCCAATGTTTAATCACCCATTGTGTTTGCACTGAAAACCCTTTTTTAAACATGTATCATTTTGTGATTTCAAGCCACACTGTGCTCAAACCTTACCCATTATTTCATTCAAATTTGAGTACAATGCCATATCCTGACCTCCCTCCACCTCCTCTGCAGACATCCACTGTTCTACCTCTTTCTCTCCCACTAACATCACCTCTTCCTCTTTGTTGCCCTCCACCTTTTCACCATCCTGTCCACCATCATCTTGTCTCTCCCCTTTCCTTTTAACTTCAGTGTACTCTGTCTCTGTGGTCTCTTTAGTAGCCTCTGGCCCATTGGGACACTTCCTTTTCAACAAGCTGAAGTTAATGTCAGAGTATTCCACCTCTCTTGGTACCCCGTCATCGTTTGGTTGAGCCACAGCTCCTCCTTCAGCTGCCTCTCCGTCTCGGGTCCCATCATTTTGCACGGCTTCACCAGCACTGATCTGTCAGATAGAAATACAAAATAATGTACATGATACAAACTAGACAATTTATCAGTAACATACAATATGTTAAGATATCAAAACATTTCAAACTTTACAGTCATAGGCTGACTACAAATCATATATAACTTTTTTCCACTGCCAACAAGTTTCAAAGTTTTTCCATGATATACATATCAAATATATATTTCTTCTGATCTTACAGCGGGAAACTGCATGAATATGACTATTAAAGTTTCTGCAATTTGAAGTTAAATGAAAAACAAAATCATGGAAGAGCATTTCTGCACACAAGACTAATAATTCACAAAATATTTAATGAATGTATATATTAAAGCCAACTGTATCAATATAAATGGCAATGGAGCAGCTTGAGTAGTTACCATCTCCAGAGTCTCAGCGATTTCTTCAGAGTTCTTCTGTTTTCTTCTGGAGAGAAAATTAAATAAACAGAAGCAAACATTAATAACAATTAATAATCAATCATTTGTCTTCAAAAAGGACCAAACTTCTTATTTAGAATGCTTCTGCCCACAATTGATGAGCATTATTAAAACATTTATTCATGTAGGTAATCATGACTGCTAACCAATTTTCCTCTCTTTTTTGTTTTTACTACTTACCAGGCAACTTCTGTTCTGTTTTTAGATCTATTGCTTAAAGACTCTATAAAGTATTCTGCTTTTAACAGCAATGCATACATGTCAAAAAGAAACACAGCAAAGTAAAATGTGTACCTTTGGCATTTTCTGCACAAACAGCAGATGGATGTTGCAACAAGTAGCCCAATCAAAAATGCAATGATGAGTTGCGGCAGATTAAGAGTCTTAAACAAACTATGGATGGGATCTGGAAAAGAGAACAACAGATTATTAAAAGAAATAAGAGCTGTGATCACTGCTCTTTGTCAAAAATGGTTTAATTAGGTAATGAAAATGTCATAAAACAGTGGTCTTGAGTTGGGAGACGTTTTAGCTGTCAACACTTACCCTTTGGTTTTTGTTCAAACGCTTTTCTCGTAACATTGAGGTTTTCTTTTACTTCCCCAATGTCATTTCTGCTGACACACTCGACTGTGGTGTAGTTGTGATCTTTCAAAGTTACAGTAATGCTGAGGTTAACTGCATGGTTTGAGAAATTGGTAGTGACAGAGTATTCAGTGTGAGTGTCTAACAGCGGCCATTTGATGGTGGGTAAAGGAAACCCCTCACTGATACACACACACGTCAGAACCTCGGACTGAACCACACATCCAGAGGTACTGAAGATCCTTGGATGAACTGAAAAACATACACAAGGGATTTGAACAATACAGCAAACATACAGTAAGATGACATTATTGCATTTAAAATGAGACTAGAACAGCCTACTCACATGTCACATTTACTTCAGCATGTGTACTCAGAGTAGAGATCTGGTGGTTTGCTTTACAGACGTACAGACCAGAATAATCTACTGTCACATTACGGATGATAAGAGTGGCTGTTCCAGTGTTGTTATGCAGGATGATTTTGGTTTCTTTTGTCAGGTTTTTGATGGAACCATGTTTAATCCATGTGATAACAGATGGAGGGAAACTTTCAACGCTGCAGGTCAGATTCAAATCATCACCATCTTTGATTGTTGTATTTCCAGTGATCACAGGTTTCTTCCCAACTTGAAAGAAAAAATAAGTTAAAAAATAAGTATTTGTTTGACAAATTGTTAAATTGCACTCTGCCTACTAGTTAAAAACCATACATTCAAACAACCCATTATTTTACAAATGTGGCTTCAAGCTGAGGCTGAAAACCATCTAGATGCGTTAAAGCACAAAAATATGGGTGAGACATTTTAATGAAAGGATTATGTTGGTTAGAGCGGACTAAGAAATAAAATCTCCATCAATAACCAGATTTACATGCAGTAACCATTGATTTGCAAATGCCCTCTGATGATGAAGATACCCGATATGAACTCTTAAGAACCATCTAAAAAAAAGGTATGGATAATTTTACGTCAACTGCCTGATTTGACAAATTGTTAGTGACATAGTATTCATCTTGAGCATTCAACAAGGACAACTTGATGCTCTTTGAAGGAAACCCCTCACATGTCAGAACTTCTGACTGAACAACACATCCGGACTTAAGATCCTTGTGAAAACAGCAAACACACATAAGGAATCGCAACAACACAGCAAACCTTTTGGCCCGTTTCCACCGCAGGCCTCGCTCGGTTTGGTTAGGCCTCATTAGGCCCGGCTCACTTTAATGCTGCGCTTAAGTTTAGGAGCTGGGGCAGTAACTATAGTAACGCAGTGTAGGCGGAGCCGTTAGCTGTTTGCACTCAAGCTCCTCATATCTGTTCAGAAACTAGACAAAAGTTAAACAAGTACAAACCACTGACTGTCTGTGTCATGGCGAATACAGTCGCTGGTTTATTTATGTCTGTATAGGCCGTTGTGAGTGTGGACAGTCGGAGCATATAGCCTATATTGCGTTAGCTTAGCCGATCTCCATTTAGACAACAAATCAAATCAAGTTTTATTTATATATAAATAAAACTTGAAAAAAAATTGTTAAATTGCACTCTGCCTACTAGTTAAAAACCATACATTCAAACAACCCATTATTTTACANTGTTTATTTTTTTCAAGGAGGTACTTAACCAAGACCAACAGAAAAGTGCAATTTTTGCCATAAAGTGTAGCAATAGCATATTTAGGAATATAGTATATTAAATATACTATATTCCTAAATATGCTATTGCTACACTTTATGGCAAAAATTGCACTTTTCTGTTGGTCTTGGTTAAGTACCTCCTTGAAAAAAATAAACAATGCTTTGTTGCTTAAGCTTATGTATTCAGTCATTATTCAATGGTATACTAAAATCCATGTGAAAAAAATTGCTTCTCACTGTTCTCAGGTCAAATATCTATATGCGATTAAAAATGCGATTAATTGCAATTAATTAATTACAAAGCCTGTAATTAATTAGATTAATTTTTTTAATCGAGTCCCGGCCCTAATTACAATGTTGCATAGCTCATTTGGATTAAATAAAGAAAATACATTTCAAAAATTGGTTATATGTATTGAGATGTACATACAATAGTGTACACACACTTTTTTTTACAGATATCAAGCTTCAGTAACACAAAACAATGTTTGCTAAGATATTCGAGTGGTTGGTATTTCTGGCAATAATAAAAGGTAGGATTTTCTTTTTATCTCCGATATAATAATATTGTTTGCTTCTCACAACATTTTCATTAAAGTTACTTGAATGACCTGACTTTCATTTATGTGCTCTTACCACCACAGAATTGTCTTGTGTCTTCTCACTCAAAGAGACTCCCCTGACAGCCACAGAGGGGTCCTGCATCAAAATCACCTGCAACGTCAATAAAAGGGTTGATGTTGTTGACGCACACTGGTTTTGGATGAAAAATGCAACTTGGGATAAAGGTTCTTTCACCGGCACTGTCATTTACAGCAGTAATAACACATTGCGTTCTGTCAGTCCAGCCTTTGCAGAAAGAGTTTCATACATCGGCTCTCCATTTTCAAGATGGAAAGATGATGGTACACCCTCAAAGGAGTGTAGTATTATAATCTGCAACCTGACCAAAACTGACAGTGGAAACTATTATTTTAGATATATAGGGAAGCAAGGGAGAGACACATGGATGACTAAACCGCCATCACGCATCACGGTTACTGGTAATTTCATGTTTGCCTTACAGTATATATTTATATATACACATACCAATATAATTATTCTATTAAAACATGAATTTGTATTGTTTTGATTGTAACTAACACTGGATATTCTGTTAATTAACATTTCTTCTGATATTGCCTCTTTCATATTTTCAGAAAATCCATGCCCGATTACTTTTGAGACACCGCCTGCTGTAAACGAAACTAATTCGATAACACTGACATGCTCTACTTCAAGTTCATGCACATCAGATCTACAAATTCATCCTCGATGTCCAAACTCAAATAACCAGTCAGAAAAGGATGAAAAACAGAAAAGAATCACAGACACTTTCAAAGTCACCTGGCTGGATGATGGGAAGGAATTTTCATGCCAAACCCAAAATAACCCAGACAGCTATTTGATCCGCAATATCAGTGTGACTGTTGAATGTAAGTTAATGAAGGTAGTTTATTTAATGTCTATTATTAAAGTAGTCGGATATACGCAAAGCAAAGTAAGTGATTTAAAAAAAGATGCAATCTTTATCTGCTACATCCAACTTTTATGGTGATCATTTCCATACATTTTTTTTAAATATACTGCATATTAGAAATACTGAAAATTAAGAATTTGACAATCTTGTACAATTGAGTTGCTACTACTTTGAAATGCGTATTTTTTACGATCCGAATAAGCTAGATGAACAACTTTGTCATATTCTATTTAGTAGTAATAATAAGATTTTTAATGAATAATTCCTTTGACCATCAGATTATGTATTTTTAAGGGTCGAAAAACCAACAACTTTCCTGCTTTTAAAAAAATCAAATAGCTTAGTTGTACTTTAGAAAGTAATATAATGCTTGACTCACTCTGGCTTTGATTTTATAACATTTAAAAAACCCTTACCGGGACTGAAATAAAATGTAATATGATTCTATTGTGCTGGATATTTGGAAACAATGTACAAGTCCATCTATGCTTGCTGGGTGTTGTCTGAATTCTCCTGACTTGTGTTGATACAGATGCTCCAAAAAACACATTGGCTGAAATGAGTCCAATAAACATTGTGGAAGGACAAAATGTGACTCTAAGATGCTCCGCCAAAGGAAATCCTGACCCCACCTTTACCTGGTATAAAAATGAAAAAGCAGGAGATGTAAATGTAAAAAATTTTGCAGTTTGGGACATCCCATCAATTGGAGAGTCTTGGGGTGGAGAATACCAATGTGAAGCCATAAACAGACATGGTACAAACAAATCGGACTTTGTCAAAATTAATGTCACATGTAAGTATTTACTAGATTTATTCTAGAATTTAACATATATTTTAATTGCGTTTCTGATTCTCAGTATTTTTAACACCTGAGGTCTGCAGCATTCTTAATGTATTATCCATGTATATTAACCAAAATAAACATTGAAATCTTATGTTTCAGATAAGCCTGAAGTTCAGGTTGTGTCCTCAACTTCTGAAGTTAAACAAGGAGATGAACTGACCTTGACATGTAAGGTGACAAGAAGCAACCCACAACCCACAACCTATGTTTGGTCAAAAAATGGGACAAGTATTGGGCAGAGGACACAGCTGTATGTTGTTAAAAGAATCGAGCCTGAGAACAAAGGCAGCTACACATGTACAGCCACTAACACTGTGGGGAATGGAACATCAGACCCTCTTCAAATTATTGTTAAATGTAAGTTGCACCGCTCCTTTTGCTGTATGTATATCAAACCGTTTTGATATGGCACAGAAAAGGAAATAAATCCACTGACTATTTGTAGAAAGTATACTAAAAATAAATGTCATGTTCCAGACGGCCCGAGGAAGACAACCATCAGTAACCATGGTATAAAAGAGGATCCAAATGTGGGAGTCGGTAGCTCCATTACATTCCAATGCAACACTGATGCCAATCCTGCACCAACGAGATACTCCTGGTACCGATACAACAAGAATAAACGGATCGACTCCTTACAGTGGACGTCCAGGACAACTGATAACAACACACTGTGTTTGAACAAAGTACAGAGATCAGATGAAGCATGTTACATGTGCAATGCAACCAACCTCATCAGTACAGGGGAGGATAGTGAACCGAAGTGCATACAAGTAATGTGTAAGTAATTGTGTTCTGCTCAAAATGAACTGTGATGTTTAAGTTTCTCTGACGTATTTATTCGTATCATTTGTATTACATTCTTTTGGATTGTTGATGCAGCTAGCAGCTACAATGTTAGCATAGCATAACCCTGATCGTTCTGGAGCTAGCATTTCAAAATTAATTAGCTTGTGCAGAAATACCTGAATAAGCAGTAGAACAGACTTTTAACAAATCTGAATTATGGTGTAGGCTTTTTTGACCTCCCGTTGATCTTTTTCTCGAACAATCTTTCAGAACAAGTATAAGCGCGTATAGGAAAATGTCAAACTAAAGATTGTAGGATATGCACCTGTTCAGGGTCTGCTGCTGTTATATCATGCAACATTTAGAAACATTATTGATCCTTCTGAAAATCATGCTGCTCTCCCGTCTCTACAGATGCTCCCACATCTGTCAGGCTGTCTATGGATGCTGCGGTCAGAGAAGGTCAGCTCATCACCATCAACTGCATTGTTGAAAGCTTTCCACCGTCACAGCTCACCTTGACCATGACTCCTACATCAACTCCTCAGCCTTCAGAAAAGCATTTATTTGAAGCTGCAAATGATTGGCCCCATAACACTCTTCAACACAAATTTAATTTAACTTCAACCCACACAGGCAATTATTTTTGCACTGCCACGAACAGTCAAGGCTCAACCAAAAGCAATCAAACGACGCTGGTTGTGAAATGTGAGTGACTTATCGAGAATTTTTTTGTATATACAGTATTTGTATTACCATATCATCGTAACTTAACATTAACTTTGATCCGACACCTGTCTTTCTCTTTTTCTTTTACTGAATTTTGGCGAGTGCAGATTCTCCAAAAAATGTGACCATAAGAGCTGAGCCTGCCCTTACTGTGAATGAAAACAAGTCGTTGACGCTGCATTGCAGTGCCAAGTCCCACCCACCAGCAACCTCTTTCACCTGGATGAAGATGACTGATGGAAAGAGTAAAATCATCTGGAAGACTCACACCTTCAGTCTGAAGTCTGTCAGTTATTCAGACAGCGGACTGTACAGATGTACAGCCTGTAACGAAATTGGAGCTGGAGACTCAATGCAGGCTGATGTTAAAGTAAACTGTGAGTACAATAGCACAATCAAGATTATATAGAAAAAATAGGAGTATTGTAAATTCAGATAAGCATGTCTACAAAATGGATTCAAAACCCCTTAACCTGATAAGAATAAGACACAGAAACGAAAGATAACACAAAAACATTTACATTTTAAGTGTTTGATACAATATACCCTTTACTATTATAGGCCATAATTCTTACTAATAAAACATGTGAAGCATCTTTCTTCTTATGTCCAACATCGGGTAACAAAGGACTTATGCAACTGTGAAAGTGGCAGCTTAAGTGGTTATTCTAACACAGATTGTAATGTTAAGACAAAATAAGGAAGTCATTTCAGTGATGGATGTTAAAGGTATCCAGTGGAGATTTTCATTCTTTTTTTTAAGTCATAATTACATTCGCATAACCTCTACCAGCTGTCAATAGATTAAGTAACATGGAGCATAACAGGGATGTGCATTGTGTCGAAGCGTGATTTAATGATTAATTTTAAATGTGACTAACACTTTTTCTACAAATCTGCACATTTTGGAAACGACCACTGGGGGGCACCAAAGATGTAAAGTTCTACACACAGTGGCTTCACATTGTCTTTGGTCGCGTGCCTTGATCCTTGATGATTGTTTGCCCTTTTTTCATTTTGTCCTAAATTTCACCTAGATGCTCCAAAACACACAAAGATACTGAGAGCAGAAGACGGGACTCACTCTGTGGCGCTGAGCTGCAGCAGTCACAGCTATCCCCCAGTTATACAATATGTATGGTACAAGGAGAACACGGGAGAAAAGGACGTCAAAGTGCATGACCGTCAGAACTACACTGTGTATTCAGATCAACCTGGAGTCTACTACTGCACCGCGAAAAATAAAATAAATCCGATTCAGTCCTCTGAAAAGATCCATCTGTTTGACCGTGAGTGAGTTTTAATGCAATGTTTCTTTATGCTAATTGTTCATACTGGAAATGTGTTGGTTATGGAAATCAGACTTGCCAGAGTACACTTATTCCTCTAAATAATCGCAACAGTTTGTCAGCCTGGCTCTTGTTCAAATACATATATTTGTACATATATACATACTGTATGTACTGTATATACATTTCTCTTCTATCCACAGAAAGCTGGATGAAGGTCCTGTTTAGGTCCTTTCTTTTCTTTATAACCCTGATCCTAATTTTGACAATTTTCTTCGTCTACAGGTAAAGTATGAAAGCAATTACATTTTTAGGATCTTTTGGCACGTTTAACTGGCATTTTAAACAACTGCCGTTTCACTTTGTTTTCAGAAAAAAGAGGAAGACATCAATTCAACAAGGATCTACAAACACACTGCCCTGTATTGGGTTTCTGGTGATGAATCATTTGAACAACCTTTTCTTTACTCCTTTATTTTACTGATCTAGACAATAATGATTAATGATCGCTACAGCTTGTCGTTTTGGCAAGGAAAAGTCCCAGGCTCTTCCAAAAATGCAACATACAATATGTTTAAGATATAAAACAATACAAACAAAAGTGTGCAAGAAGAAACAGAAAATAATTGTGATAAAGAAAGACCGATGTGCCAGTAAACGCAAAACGAAGTAAACATTATTCACAGATAAATAACAACAGGATGTATAGTACAGTGGAATAAAATACTGCTTATTTTAAAAATGTATAAATATGTGAGATGTAAACGGATGTAGAAATATCATGGTGACTTAACTGTTGTGTGTGTGTGTGGGTGGAAACACACTCAGGGATGGCGGATGGGCCCCAGGGTGAGAAATCGGATAAACGAGCCCCGCCTGGCGGAGCCTTCCAGGAGCAGAGATGACTTACTGCCAGAACAGCCGCGCCGTCCAAAGGCCCAACGGTGCCAGCCGAGCCCAGACTGCGCGTAAGACAGCAGACACGCAAACACAGTCCTCACGGGACGAGGCTCACTCTGTAGGATCCTGCTGCTCATGCTAGAACTAAAGCGTTCATTAAAAAATCCTTCAGATATGAAATGCACAATGAGAGTTTCCCCTGTCATTTATTATAATCAGTCATAACATGTTTTTTTTCCATTGTTGTTCCAATGGCCTGCATCCAACATCAACAGTGTTTACAGTCTTCTGAATCTGCCCTCCGAACAAGTGAGTAAAGCAATTCCAGATTCATTAAAACAAAACAAACATAACATCAAACTTAAAATGATTCCCTCACTTTAAGATTACAAAATACATTACATTGTGCTATGCTGTTGCTTTTTGGGGACTTGTATGACTTCTTATGGCATTTTTAATATGATATTTTTTGGACATTTCCTATGCCATACAGAACATGTCGTTTTTCTGACATTTTTAAGGACATTTTTTCAAGACTCACTGCCTTGGATTTGTTTCTGATTTAACATCGACCTTTGTGTTTTATTCACTTTATCAAATACTATACAATGACATGTTATGGCATACTGTTGTAAGACCATTTTGACATAACACAATTTGAAGTATGACATTTATGCCTTCTGACAATTTGTGTTTAGCACATACACACAAAATCCCTTCCATTGATCAAGCTGTTGCTTTGCACGCTGAAATATAACTCTGTCCTCACTGTTTTTCAGAATAGTAATCATTCAGTATTTAGTATAGTAGAGCATGAATGACCTACATTTTAAAGCATGAATGAACTGATTCAGTGCTAGTGTTCATTCACTGATCTGTCTTCAGTCTGAATCTGCTCAGCGTCCTTTTGCACAAAGGCCAATCCGACAGCAAGGTGGACACACACAAGATGATTCTCTCAACTACGCGTCTTTGCACTTTGGAAATAAGCAACAGTGAGAATATATCTTTTTACATATAATACCAGTAAAAAAAAGGTATTGTCGCATGGCAAATGTATGATGTTTTTTTCTTCTGTAGAAACAAACAGGCAGAAGAGGAAGTATATGCTATTGTATCCAAAGACAAAAAGGTAATTTTGCTTGTGTTTGGGGTAAACTATGGTGTATATATATATATAGAAAAGAAGTATGGCATGTATAGTCCACTTTACTGTAATGGATGTTTCCTCTTAAGACGTGACTACTTATTCAAATCAAGTAAAACTTTTTTAATTCTTCTGAGGATAAAATGTATGTAAATGTAGATATTGTTTAGAAAATCCTGATACTGTCAAAGGTTATCACAGCAATGATCTGGTGACTATATATGTGTTTTCTTCTAGAATGAAAAGAGGCTCCAGGACTACGAGAACATCAGCACAGCACACTCAGCCATATCTCCGAATCCATTGACTGATGACACAGACACCAGTGAGGATGAATTAGAGATCAATTATTCACAGGTGAACTTCAAGGCAAAGACTTAGAGAGCCGCCAGAGACTTGATCAACTCTGATGAAGAGGAGACGCAGTACTCTCACGTCAACATCTGAGTTTACATTATCTTCCAAAGCGTTTGACACCGTTGATCATCGCATCTTAAAGCAGAGGCTACTCAGTATTGTATTGGCATATCCATCCATGCAGTGGGGTGGTTTCTCTGAAAGGTCCCAATGTGTTCACTTTGATGGGCTGTCTTCTGAGTAGTTAAACATTGCTAATGGTGTTCCTCAAGGTTCTGTTTTAGGTCCACTTTTATTCTCCATATATATCAACAGTTTAGGTGAAAATGTGAATGAAGCTACTTTACATTTCTATGCGGATGATACCGTTATGTACTGTGCAGGTCCCTCCATTAAGGAGGCTGGTGTTAAATTACAGGCTGTTTTAAACATTATTCAGACTCTTAGCTTAAGCTTCTTTTAAATGTTGATAAAACCAAGGTATTGCTATTTTCAAAAGCTAAAAAGACACCAGAGCCTGTTTTAGATATTGTTACTATGCAAGGACAAGTACTTGAAGTGGTTACCTGTTATAAATACCTAGGTATCTGGCATTTTAGGTATTGTCTTACTTTTAAACTTCATGTCAATAACCTG